CAAAGTCAAAAGATATTTATAGTGAATCTAGATTTCATAATTCATATGGGGCTTATGGACCCGATAAACACCGTTAAAAAATGTTTAAAATATGTTATTTTCGTTAACCAGCTATCGCACCCCTACGGACGATAACCCTCAGAAATCGAGGCTTGTGCGAGCTAAGAACTAACGAGGTCTTACCTTTTAACGCGTGATTCCTAACACGCATTGGGCGATAGCAAGTGAAAATTGAGCGTTCAGCCTGGGGCTCGAACCATCGACTCACACATCGGCCACTTGACTGAGTAAACAAAGCATCCACGTCGAACCGCCCGGCTACCGACCGAACGGTCGGTGAAAAGGACCATCTCAGTCTTCTACAGATTGATCGACAGTGAGTGTTCCTTTCACCATGTTTTTTGGTTAATTAGGACCTAATAGTGTTTCCTTAACATTCATTATTTTATTATTATTTTCATTGCGTTGCTAGCATCACATAATGCTAGCAACGCAACTTTGAGTATTGAAGTGTGTTGTAAGTTACAGAGCACCTAATTTTTGACTTCGGTACCTAAAAAGCACCTAAAAAGTACCTAATTTTGGCATATTCTTAATGCGATTTCCGTACTTTGCGTTGCTGGCGTAACAGAGCTGTAATTTTGAGAGACCTACTAAGATAGTGTCCGTTTGAATACAGTTGTTTCACAGTACCGTAACTCGAAAATGTTTGAATAACAGTCACTTAAACATGTGATTTTTTGATTACTGGTACGTTTGAACACTCACTCGCCCTGTATGAAAACCGATTTCAGAATATCCCACGAAATCGTCAACCCCTTTCGAAACAGCTCTACTTACAGGCACTCAATCATTATTTAATGGGAATCGACTAGAAGGCGACACAAAAAACGAATATGGAGATAATTCGACGCTACCATAAAAATAGCGTACTTATAACGTGTCAACCATCAGCGGCAACTTTGATGAGATCGTAATGATCGTGAGGCATTACCAAGTTGACCCGTTAACCCGCGGTCAGTTCGCGGCCTGTCAACCTTGTCCTGTCGCCCATTCAGGTCGAATTGCAAAATCGACATTGAGTCTTGTTTTGTCTTTTAGCTGACTTGTAGATGGTCAGGAGAAACCGATTAAAATGGTCGATGGTTTCAAGAAGACAAACAATCAATGATATCAATGATAATAAGCACAGATTTTGATGAAATCGAGTATGTCAAGAATCACAAAAAATTTTGTCACATATGTATGTTATGAATATACCACAAAAATCCCGAGTTTTTGTCATATAATTTTATAAGAAAAAAATTGGATATGTTGAACACAGAAGGGAAAAGCGTCATATAATGTTTCTATCAAATCTATTGAACAACAGAATTGTTATTGATATCATTCCGGTAACACTCATAAACAAACTTTATATAATATTCTCTAGTGACATCTCTCCAAATAAAAAAAAAACGATACAATCAATACAATGAGCTTGGATCAGCTGTCACCCCCATACGAACGACAACTCTCAGAAGTTGAGAAACTTGTGCAGGCTGAGGACTAAAGAGTTCTTACCTTTCAACGTGTGATTCCTAACACGTTCAATAGTCATAGTTAATCTGCTGAATTGGGTGATACATTCTCAACAGATTTTTTTCAGAAAAATTTTTTTTCTTTAATGCATTTTAATGTACCTAACATGTAATTAGGTGTTTTCATAATTGTCTGTTTATATGTGCGTTAGTGCNTCAATGACTTGTATAATAACAAAATGTCATTGAGTGTAACAAATTGAAAGTCAAATTTAGAAACATCAAAGTCAAAGTCTATCATGATAAGAATGAATTTTTTTCAATATCTCTAAATTTTCGAAAAAGAATAATAACTTATGATACATCATTGGAAAGGTCAAATTTTGTTCTATTCAAAACTGAAAGAATCCAATGTAGCGCCTATTAGAAAAAATAAGTTGATAATAGTGGCTGGAAGACGAAACGTCGGATAGTAAATCTGAAAACAACATTATGTAGCAGGAAAATAGTGGCAATGTGGAAGTGCAATTTATTTTCGAATAATTTGAAAAATAAAGCCAGAAAAAATAAAAACCATTTTCCGTCTTTTCCGAATATCTCCGGATATACTCGAAATTTCAGAACTTTTTCAACGACATATTGTTAGTTAGGTGAATGCGCAACTTTTCCCCAATTTAACCATCTTTGTATCTCTTATAGCTTCCGAGATTCCAATGGTGAAGATCGTATTTGATTTATTCAAATCGATTTATGAGGTAGTCAACTATACAGCTCTCAATGGTAGCATTAGAAGTATCGACATTTCAGCATTAAACAGGAAGAAGGATATTGCATTCGTTTTGGGTCCAACAAAAAAATTCGAAATAGGTAATTTCCAACCTGCTGACGTTGACACTGAAAGAAAATATATTTATGAACCAACCATCAAATTCTTCAATGAGATATATAAAATGAATTGTGTGATGAAAGTCATTATTTTTTTTATTATTCAGTTCAGTTCAGAATTTCTATGAAAACTGTAAAATCTATTTCTCTTGAAACCTTGAAGTATCCAATAAAAGTGGTTATTTTTCATTATTGTTATAATTCATACTGATGTATTCTCTATTACTATTTTTGATAACAATAATATGAATGTATTCAATTTTCAGTACAAGGATCAGTCAATAACAATTTGAACAATCTGAACAAATTCAGGAAACCCACAAAGGACAGCCTATGGGTGGATATTACTGATTATTCGCAATATTCACATTATAAATCAGAACAGTGAGGGTAAAATCTCTATTACTATTTATGATAATAATAATATGAATGTATTCAATTTTCAGTACAAGGATCAGTCAATAACAATTTGAACAATCTGAACTAATTCAGGAAACCCACAAAGGACAGCCTATGGGTGGATATTACTGATTATTCGCAATATTCACATTATAAATCAGAACAGTGAGGGTAAAATGGATTTGACAATTTAGGTTATGAAAATGTAAAGATGTGGAAATCTCAAATGTTAGAAATCTTAAAATGTAAAAATGGAAATACAAACATCTAAAAAGTAAAAAAATTGTAACAAAAGATAGGTTAGGTTAGGTGAAATGTGCTATTATTTGCCATGATTTCACAATATTAATGATGGAAAGAGTGTTTACTGTTATAATAGTTATAATTATTTTATTCCTTGTTTTTTACATACCACATTTTATGGGAGGATATTATTGGAAATTCTCAATAAATTTGAAGGGTAGTCTTTGCTGACGAGTCAAGAACAAACCTGCGAAGTTATTTGGGTAAACAGCAATACGAAAGTGTACTCTTATAATACAAGGTATTCCAATATATTGATGGGTTTGATTATCATCATCCACTACAATTCATTACATATAATAAAACAAGACATTATCAATAGAAATGGTAAGACTAGCCGTTTTCAAAATGAGGTTTACTAATAATCACATTTTGGAGAAGAAAAAATTGTGTTACTAAACGGAGGTTAATTTTGAAAATTGCAAACACATTGAAACTCTTGAATAATCAACAGGTGAAACAAAGCACGTAGGAGGCTATAAAGTTGCAGTTTGACAGACTCTCAGTCATAGAATTTTTAATCTAGTAAAAAGAAAAAATTTGAAATTTGACCATAGAACCCTAAATGAGAGTGTGATTGGAGACAACTACCGTATGAAACCCTTATCTCCAGTGAGGTAACCCTATTACCAAGGATGTGACCATTAAAAAATTTTGAACAACCCAAGTAAAATGGTAGAGTACATTAGGAAAAAACAAATTGTGACATTGATATCAAATCATGGAAAAACAAAATTCAGAATTATTATCAATCTTATGAAACGTTGCATAAGCATCGCTTAGGAATTTTTGAATGACGTTAAGGGCGGGAGTCTCGTGGTGGCCGTGGTAGTGGACGGACGTCCGATAACGTCCGTCCACAAAGAAGGTACGCGGATGCCATGTGCTATCGTGGGGCTCCGTTTTGTGTTGTGATAGTCCATTGAATAAATATTGAAATGTGTGAGAGTTTAAAAAAAAAGTGAAGTTTAAGGGCCCCTTTATTCACGCCGGTATACAGGCCGGGGTGGTTCGGATAACCATGTGTGTGAATTTAAAAATCTGAAGGTCTCCAATAAATATATGTAAACAAAATGAGGTCTCCTGAGCAGGAGGCGATAATAAAAAATAAAGTATGGACGATACGTCCATACTCATTTCCAAACAATCTAATTATTCTCTGGAAAAAAGATGTAATGAAGTTCTTTCTAATCTCTATGACTGGTTCTGCATGGATTCATTGCATCTAAATGCAGAAAAAACTCAGTCAATACATTTTCACAACAAAAGACAAAAACAAGTGCCTACCATTCAGGTAAATGTCAATAATAAAGTTTTGGAAAATGTATCGTGGGTAAAGTTTTTGGGCCTTTACATTGATGAGTGTCTTGACTGGAGGAGACACTGTGAATCAGTAATCTCTAAACTTGACTTTGTAAGCTATCTATTCAGAAACATAAGATATATTATGCACAGGTCAAATCCCGACTAAGATACGGAATATGTTTTTGGAGTCCGACGACTTGTTTCAATGATGTGTTCATATCGCAGAAAAAATTGATTCGTTGTATCGGTGGTGTCTTTCGTACATCTAGTTGTAGAAATTTTTTTAAAACCTATCAAAATCTTAACCTTGTCGTGTTTGAACATATTTGAAGTGTGTGTTTTTGTATTTTTTAATATTTAAACTCTTTTAAAACCAATACACAAATTCACAATGTTAATACAAGGCATTGAAATGATTTACATGTGCCATTTTCAAGAACAAATCTTTTATATAGATCACCCACTGCAACTGGACAAAGGTTGTACAATAATCTTCCTCCCGAAATAGTCACGACGTTTTGATTGTTGGTATCCACAATCGTCTTCGGGTGATAAGTGGACTTATTCCTCCAAGATCTGACTATTTGCAGGTCATTCGAGTGCTTTCACCTATCCCCTCTTCCCTCTCTCCGCGTCATTGGTTTTAGCGGGAGATGACCGTTTGGAGGGAATTCGTCATTTTCCGCTTGATTAGAGGTTTCCATATGTTACGTATCTCTTACGCTAGCTTGGCTAAATGCGTTATTGGACAACATATACGCGGAATTTCCTCCCAAACCAGTGTTTCTCCTTGTGGGTGATTTCAGCTTGAGCCCACTTGATGTTATGTTGATGAGTCCAAACATGCTCTACTATTCCAGATTTGCTGGTTTATCCTCGCTGTGTGTGTTTCTTGTGGTCAACAATGCGAACTTTCAATGGTCTCTTAGTTTCACCGATGTATGATTCTCCGCACTCGCAGTCCGCGTTTGGTGGCCTGGTTTTCGTGAGACTGCTACGGATAGTGTTCCCAGATCTGGAACAGGTCCTGGTGTTATACTTGAATCCAATCATACTTTTCCTTTCCGATAATCCTCTGATGTAGGGATTATCGGAAAGGATAAGTACTGGTTGTGACGGCTTCTCTTCCTTGTCGAGCTCTTGTGGTCTTCTAGCTGAAGCCTGTCCTACCATCACTCTGGAGTAACCATTTCGTTAAAGGTCATTTTTGATGATGCCTAGTTCCTTTTCGAGACCTTTCTTTGTATTACAGAGCCCGAAAGCACGGTCTAGTAGAGTCTACTAGACCGTGGGTCCTATCTTCGGCGGCGGGGCTACATAGCTCTTTCCTAGCCTACTAACGAAGTGGTGGAAGTGGTTCTACCACCCGTTGGCGCGGCTGGAGAGGAGACTCGCATTATGCCACCAATGGAGTCAATCAGAACACGCAGGGGCTCCACAGAATTAGGCCCCTGAAGCCACCAGAACTGGCTTGCTTGGATGCGGAGGTTCATAGTGTTCTAACAGAAGAGGCTGACATCTGGCAAATCAACACCGCCATGTATAGAACCGTCCAATTGCTTACCAAATCGGAAAGACGCAATCCCGGCCTTGCGATTCGGAAGATTGAACGGCGTGTACATAAGATGGAGGCTAAGATCACGTCAGCGAGACAACACGCGCCTCGTATCCAATGTGTTATGGATAACAGGGCGGCCAACCGGCCTTTCACGCTCGCAGTGTGGCCAATAGCCGGCAAACTACGACGTACTCAACACTCTTCAAGTTAGGGCGTGCTGCTGACTACCAAACAGCACTGCCTTGATAGAATACGAATGCTAGTGGCTGCTAAGAAGTCACTAGTGAGGCGAACGAGAAGTATCGCAAAAAACTTCAGGTT